TGTACCAGCCTTGGCATGAAAAATCTTCCTTATTTTTCCATGACCCATATGTGAAGCACCAGCGCCCTGGTTTTAAAGGTATGCTCGTTACCTCCTCCAATTGTGTTGTCCTCTAGGAATGTACTATTTGGACTTCTGCCCAAAGAGTTGATTTTGTCTTCGTAACTGACAGCGTGTCTCTGGGATCAACATCCAGACTACTAAAAGTCTTACTATTCCGTCTTTTTCCAAATATACCACAATATGATCTATCCAAATGGATGATTGTCCATATTTGGTAGCACACGCCAGAATAAATGATCCATATTTGTGAAGAGAGGCGGTAAGAAACCTTTCTGGATTGTAAGGTATCCTCGATAATGCCCAGACTTGCCATGTTGGGGGCATTAAAAAAACACATGGTTTATCAATTCCTCAGCTCCACATCTGGCACAGCACGTTTCAGTTTGTATCTCCCACGCTTTCAGATTTTCTTAACAGCTATACAACCGATAGTAATTTCCATATAACTGATTTATCTTCAGCGGATACCGTACCTTTTAACAGTGGGCTTTTACTAAGTCCACTATGGAGCCCAATATTTCAGGTGGATTTTCTTTTTCCGGGTATACTTTTTCTAATTGATATCCTGATTTAACCGTGTATTTTTCATTCTTAATGAAATGCCATCCATCCATGTCTTCCATTTGAGGCCTATTAATTAAGTGGTATACTCTCTATGAGTTTTGCGTCATGGGAATCCACAAGAACCCGAATAGCCTGTACATTCAAACTTCACGTAGTAGTGTTGATAAGAGAGTCCACTGTAAGTTCCAGATAAAAGTTGTGGTTGTTTTTATTTGCTGGTCTCGGGCAAGTGGTTGGAATCCATGGATCATTCCATACTGAATTGGAGGATCCTGATCCCACCCGTTTGATGAGTCTTTTGCCAACCAGAGATCTAGCAGAGATCATACTTCTCCATCCATAGGACGGAGAGTATGATATGATCGGTTCCAAAGGCGAACCATTCCTATAGTATCGACCTTTGAAAACCTGAGAAAATAAAGAATTTGGTTTCTCAATTAGGCGCCATAATTGCTTGGCAAGAATAGCCGTGTTAAAATTCTCTAGTTTTTAAAACCAAACCTCCTTCTTCTTTACTAATACACATTTTGTCCCATAATTTCTAGTGCATTCCTCTTGTATTTCCCTCTAGACTCCACCAAAATTATGCTACCGCATCCGTAAGTTTCTTTGTGGTTGTCTTAGGTAGCTAATAACATGACATTACATGATTTGGTAAAGCTGTAACCACATATTTTATGATCACTTCTTTTCCTCCCTTTGTGAAAAAACTTGAAAGTCCAACCATTGACCCTATTATTTAAACGTTTCTGCACAAATCCAAACACTTGTATTTTAATTTTCCAGACTCTCTGGTAACCCCAAGCACAATCCCATTCCACCTATATTATGTATTCTCAGGATGTCTCTTAACTCTTGACGGTGACCTTCCCCAATCTTATGTCTAAATTGAATTGGCGACTTTTGAAAATTAATCAAGACCTGAAACTTCATCATATTCCTTAAGTATCCTGAGAATGGTTTGACATTACTCTAGTTTTGTCTTACAAAATAATAAGCTGTCTTTTGTAAAAAGCAAATGAGAAATTGATGGACAAGCTCTAGCAACCTTCATCCCTGTTAACTGTTTTTGTTTTTCCAGTTTTTTATATTGGCAATTAAAGCCTCAGTGCACATGATGAATAAATAGGGAGATAAAAGATCTCCTTGTCGTAAGCCTCGATGTGGATAATGAGTCCACGAGGATGACCATTTAGTAAAACCTGATACTGAACTGACAAAATACACTCCATCCTAAGTTTAATCCAGTGAGGATCAAAGCCTATTTTGTGGATTAGTGCCTGGATAAAATCTTATTCCACCTTATCATACGCTTTATTCATGTCCGTTTTAATTGCCATAAATTTTCACTGATGAGATTTATTAGTTCTTAAACCATGGAACATCTCCTGCGCAATGAGAATATTATCCGATATTAGTCTCCCCGCCATAAAAGCCGATTGGGTTTCCGAGAAAGGTCTTGGTAAGCAGATTTTCAGCCGCTGACATAAAACCTTTGAAATAATCTTATATCTAACATTACAAAGAATAATCGGTCTAATTTCTGTCATCCTTGAGGGTCTCTCCGTCTTTGGAATCATACAGATATGAGTTAGGTTTAACCGAGAGTCCAGCATTCCTATAGTCAAAAATATATTCACCATCTCCACCAAGTCTTGCTTTATTATATGCTAGGAGTGTTGAAAAAAAAAAGCGTTGTCATTCCATCTGGTTGATGCCTTTTCTGGGTGCATCATGAAAAACACATGTTTGACCTCCTCCTCCATCGCATTCCTAAGTAGTCTCTGATTCATTTGCTCAGTAATGGTGGATGGAATCTCCTCTAAATAAATTGTCGAACTCAGATGGTGAGGTAATAGTAAAGAGATCCTCAACATAGTTCACTGCTATCATATCTACACCTTTCTCCTCTTATATCCAATTTCCAGCTTCTTCATGCAGCCCCACTATTCTGTTACGCACCCGCATTTATTTTGTTAAAGCATGATAAACTTTTGTATTAAGGTCCCCTGAGGAGTTACCACATATGTCAATTTTTCTGGTGCCAATAGTCCTCTTTGTCCTTGTATGCATCATGTAACTTCATAGATATTTCCAAAATACCTTCCTTTGATTTATTGTTATCCATTTGTACCTCTTCAAGAGCACGTTGGAGGTTCTGAACTTTTTCCTTTCCGAATGGCGGGTTATTTTCCGCCATTTCGCTATCTCATGCCGACAATTACTAATTTTAGTGACAATATCACCTATCTGATCCTCATTATATAATCTGTCCAACCAGCAATTATTGAATTCATAAGTCATTCATGGCTAATCCATCTCTTATCAAACTGAAATTGTCCCCTTATCCTGGGAACCTTATCCTCCATATAGGCTACTATCAGACGATGATTCAACCCAACCATCCCCAAATATTCTGTATAAGAGCATGAGAATATTGTGTGCCAATCTTCATTTGCTAATTCTTGGTCTAAACGACATCTAATCATCAAAACTCCTTTCCGTTTGCCCATGCGTCCTTGCCAAGACATCTTATTCCCTCGAGCTGGAAATTCAAGTAAACCACTGATTCTAATCAGTCCTTGCTCTAGTTATTTGAATCATCAGGTTTTACTTCTCAGAATGCAGTGCATGAGCCGCAATTGCAAGGGAATTGTTTTTTTTAATATGGCATTTATGGTTTTGTATTTATGGTCAGAAGGAGATGGATTTTGTCGATAGACACAACGCACATGAAGGGTGGGTATTTGATTTTTTTGTCACCGGTTGGAGAAATGGTCTCGCTAAATATGTTTCTCTAAGATATGAAACCGGAAAAAGGAGGCAAAATGTTTATTGAGGTTCCCCTCATGGCATGGGATTTATCCTATAAAATATTCTTATATAATGCGAAAATGGTGTCTACGGTGGTGAGGAAGATGATTTTTCAGTGGAGTGTTTACGGGTTAGTCGACATATATTTTGTCTGCATTGGTGGAGTTTTATGGATGACGTATGGTCAACGTTTATGGTCTCATTATACCCTCATGCCTTCGGCTCTATGGAGTTTTTTTTTACAGATTTTAGTGAGGATACTAAGTTGGAATTGTATAAGAATGAGAAGTAAGTGGACTATTAGTTATCTACATAAACTATGGCATAAACATAAACCAGACTTTTTATTTTTATCCGAAACAAAAAAAAAAATTTGAGTTTGTTCAAGGATTTAAGTCACATTTTGGCTATGATAGCTTGGTTACGGTGGATCCAGTTGGACGAAAGGGGGGCTTAGCACTCTTCTACAATAATGAGTTTCAGATAAAGATTTTGTATTCAAATAATCGAATGAATGATGTGGAAGCAATGGTGATGGGGAAAAAAGTTTTGTTTTTTACATCCGTGTATGGGGATCCGGTCAAAAAATTAAGAGAACAAATATGAGAACGATTAATTGTAGTTTTAATAGTAATTATTTTTTTCTAAAATACTAAACATTAAGAAAATTGTAAAAGAGTTTTTAATTGTAGTTTTCCTTTTTAATCCTATACAAACAAAAATTGTAGAATAATTATTTCAAATACTTTTTTATGAATAATCAATTTTACAATTTAATTAGTTAAATTTCTGTTTTATAATCATAAACCAAAAAAAAAACTCAACTGTTCACATCTATATATATGATTAAGTTTTCTCTTGATTTGTCATTTCTCATTTTTTACAAGAAAAATATTAGGTAAGTTTTTTCCATGTTCTTTCACATCTTGCAAAGAAGAAGTGGCAAATGAGCATATTTTATATCCCATAGATTTTTTTTTTAATATGTTGAAATTTTAGGAATTTCAATCACAAACTTTATCTTAAAATATATGTTCCATTCATGCTATTAAATAATTTAAATCAACAAGAAAGACTTTGCAATGGAAAGGTTACTGATAACGCTTCGGAAACAAGATTAGTGTAGCAGAAATGCGAACCAAAATTTAGGTGGAAAAATGAGTTCTTATTCCAATAATAAATCTCACACCAATATCGTAAGATGACCTTTGAAAATGAAAAGATGCTAATTCCTTATACGAGTTTGCTATGTAAAAATTTTCAACAAGAGTCAAAGTCAACTTTTACACAAAGGTTGTCTATAATTCTTAAAGTAGTCATCCACAAAGTATAACGACAATAGTATTTTACAAAATTGCTTAATAAGAAATTTGCAATAATATATGATATATAAAGAGAGATTAAAGTTGTACTATCGATGCTAAAGTGAACAAATTTTATGTTTTTCTAGCAATATATTTGATATGTAGTTGACTAACAATAAGATTTTTGAACTATGTTATTTTTAATTTGTCGTAAACAATAAAAAATATAGAGAGTTAATACCAATTCTATATGTTTCAATTAACTACAACTAATATTATTTGGAAAAGTAATTAAAAGTTAAGTATTTATTAAAGAAATAAAAATACACTATTGTAAAACACCATTATTATTGAATTAGAATTAATCAAAATTTACTAAAAAGACATATCAATACTATTAAAACAGGAACAATTTTTATCTCGCTTAAGAGAGGTCCACAAATCAGATGTCAAGAAAACTCTTCCAGGAAGACTCGATAATTCCCTCTTCAGCGTGTCTCTCTCGCTTTCATACAAGCGAAACACATCAGCCTTCGCCGTGTTTCGACAAATGAATTGGACATCATCATTCAGATACTTCCAAGTGGCTCTCACCTTTTCATACTCCACATAGGAATATGGTAGATCATGCTGGACTATCGTCTTAGCTACCAGCTGCCTAAACACAAGATGATCATACCTGCGAGGTTGTAATTTGCCTTCACCATCGAGCTTCATCTTGCCGTTCATCCTTGTTATATTTTTGCATCTCTGTGTGTGCCTTATCAACGCCGAAGTTCCATGCGAGTGGGAGCTCCAGGCATACTCATTCTTACAGTGAATGCATTTAGCCTTCTCCTCGCCATTGGGTTTTCTAATCACAACAAAATCATTCCAAACCTTAGACCTTTGCCTACTCTCCCTCTTATTGTAATCAGAATCATCACCCACGTTAATATCCTCAGATTCCTCACCAGCCACTGGCTGCTTAGACTCCAAAGCTTTCTTCTTTCCATTATTTGGAGTCGGCTTTGAAGACCTTCTTCCTCCACGTATTATAGCAACACTCGGCTTCTTCTTGCTTTGAGTAGCCTTTGAAGAGGTTGCAAATCCACTCCCTGATCCGAAACTAAATTGCTTGCGAGGCTGGGAGGATTGAGTTGGAGGAGCGGTGATTTCGACTTCATCATCATCAGAACCAACTTCTATCAGCCTCCGTTTCCGCTCTTGCTTATTTCCACCAGAACAGAGATCCTCAGCCTCATCATCATCAGCAGCATCAGCAGTAGCGCCAAGAGATGCCAGCAGTCCTTGAGTCTCAAGGTCACAGGTATTCAATGGCATGAAATTAGGATCAAAGGTTTCTAAGTCACAGGTATCCACGTGCTTGCAGTTGGGATCCATCGCCGCTTCTTTTCTCAAGTTTCTTTGTTTGTTTTTAGTTTACCTCACGTACGCTTGAGTTTAGGTTTAGTTGTTACTTGTTAGGGTATTTTTGTATTTTTTATGTTAATTTCAAAATATTTGAATTATCTCCTTATTTCTTATTGGTTAAGTTTTATAATATTTTAGAAGTAAAGTTATAACTCTTTTACATTCTGTACGTAAATCAAAACTCAAAAGCAAAGCAAGTAAACTAACATCAAGCAATATATCTACAAGACTACAAATCCGATAACCTAGCATATTCAATTTTCTACTACATAAGACTAAACTAAAAAGTAGAACCTGAACCTGTGAATGTTCCACTGCATCACTTGGTTTATTTCAGGTACACGCTTGGTTGTCACAATGTCAACAGCTTCTTGATTGCTCATGTGCTCCCATAAACCGTCTCAGGCACCCTGAAACAGAACATATACAAGTCTATAAGTTATTAAAGTTACAATCTTGCTTCCATGCTTCTCTTGCTTTCCAGGGATTTCTTGTGAATCAAATAGAACTTGCAGTACCTTCTGTAGAAACTAGAGCTAAAGAAAACAATTAGGAGAGACCACCAAAACGTTGCTCTCTCCTCTTCCACCACTGTGATCCCACTCTCCCTCTCTAAAGTCTCCGTCTTTATCACAATCTCCTTAGTGCTTGCCTTCAGTGCTTCCACCCACGCCATTGCTTCTCATACTCCTTTGTTCTCTCAATCTCTTTCATCATCTCCTTCATTCCCTTCTTCATCTTCTCCAATGACTCAAACACCTCCTGCCTTTCTCTCTCTTTCTCCTCTTCCACCTCTTTACATTCCTTCAAAGCCTCCATCTTCGCCAACTCAACAAGAACATGCTCTTCATTCCCAACATCCACCTCTAACCTAACACTCTCAACCAACTTCTAATTCTCTTCCATCCTAACCCTTAACTCCATTACTTCCTTCTCTGCCACAACCTTCTCTTTCAAAACATAGGCAAAATCAAGCTTAAGCTTACTCAGTTCTTGCTTCACATCCTCAACAACTGACTGTTAACAAACAGAGAAACAAAGAAAAACACATCAAAGATCGAATCTTTGCAACCAAAAGAGCATTTTTGTATTCATTTGGCCTTCTCACCTTAGCTTCTGGTGAATCAAGCTGAGGAGAGACGCTTCGAGTAGCTCTTTGTCCGTATATGTTAATGGCAGCTTTCGAGAACGGAAAAAATATAAACTACAGAGGGCAAGGTCGATGCTCTGGTGGGGGCGTTGGTGCTAGATCGAGAACGGAAAGAAGCTCCGGTGGGGGCTTAGTCGAGGAGAAGACGAAACTACAGAGGGCAAGGTCGATGCGCTTCTTGTGCTCCTCTGGTGATTGTATGAGCTTGAAAGGGACGCCGGAGGGACCTTCAGAGCTCGAGCCAACGTCGTCGGAGCTCTAAAAGGGAAGCCGGAGGGACCTTAGGAGCCCGACGAGGGACCTCGGCGATATCGCCTTGTCGAGTTGTCTCAGAAACATTTTTTTCTTTTTTCAGGTGCCGACATGTTCAAAGCGGTCCTCTCTAACCCGCGTGACCGCAGTGGCCCGACCCGCAACAGGCCCAATCCCGCAGTAACATTACCCGCGAGGCCCGCTAAATTTTGGGTCTAGAATTTGCTGGCCCAAACCCACCCCATATGGGCCTTTTATGAGACCAGCCCGCGGGCCGCGGTTCAAATTGCCATCTCTAGTTGTACCATTACATTTAACTACCTTTCCTATTATTTCTACTTATACTTAATAATTATTAAATATATAGCTAACCTAAAATTAAGGAACTAATAACTAATATATTCTTTTTATAAAAAACAAGTTAATTCAGTTTATATTAAAATGAAATTTAAGTAACTAATCAGTTATATTTTATTTATTAATATAAGAAGAATTATATAAGCCTATTATTTGTATATAACATTTGTACGTTAATTCAACTATAATAAACAAAATTTTCAAACCTTCGCCAACACATAATTATATAATTATCATAGATAAGGTCTTAAAATATTTTATTTTATTTTTTTATAAAATAAATATTAATAATAGCTACTATTAATATTTAATTTTATGATGAAACATGTTATTATTTATATTTTATGATTATAATTTTACGGGTTATTCCAATAAACATACAAAATATTTTTCAAAAATAAATTTAATTTAATAAAATATAAAACACAATCTAAATTATGCTTGGGTGTTCAAGTACCAATTGGGATACGAGTCGGATATATTTATATCACATCATAGGTGCCATAATTTGTAAATATGCATGTTTATAAGTATGGATCAAATTCAAATATAGCACGTCGGGTTTGGTTCTAATTTGTACACATCTTAAAACCGATAAAGTAACCATATATCGTTTAGATTAAAGTTATATTGGTTTGGAAATATAAAATTTAAAACCAGAAAAAAAAACTCATTTTTATAGAATTGGGTATTAAAGTACTTATTTTAAATTTCAGTAATTATTTTTAAATATCATTTCAAAGTAAATATTTAAGTTTCAAATATTTATATTTACGATTAATTTAGACATTCAGATCAATTCAAATTTTTTTCTAGGTTTTTTTTGTTTTTGGGTTATTCGTTTGGGTTTGGCTAATAACACTTCGGATTCAGATATATTCTGTACCACCTTAACTCATTTTTATATATTTTACATTATAGACCAGTTACGGATCCAATTTTTTTTGTTTAGATTGAGCTCAGACGCCGAGTTAGGATTTTATGCACATGTCTACTTTATATAAAACCAAAATGTGATCATATAAATTTTCACCGAAAGATTATTCCGCACTTTTAAAAGTAATATGTTTGATGAAATTAATGAACTAAAAAGTATATCCCACATTCTATATGTATAGGAAATGTGATTATATAAAGTTTGTATCAAACATAAATCCGCGTTTTGAAAGCGCGGGTCAAAATCTAGTCTTATATATTAAAACAGAAGTCAACCTTGATTCATGTGTGGTTTTTTTTAAAAAAAAAATGGACCATCACTAAAAACTTTTACTATATGTATTTCATTAAGACTAATAATATATAAAATCTTTAAAATACTTTGATCATAATATTTTTTATATCTTCTCATTTTAAATATAAATTAATTTATCTAAATTCACTAAAAACTTTTACTATATATATTTCATTAAGACTAATAATATATAGAATCATTAAAATACTTTAATCATAATATATTTTGATATCTTTTGATATCTTTTCATTTTAAATATAAATATATTTAAATTCTAACAAATTATTTTTAAAAGATTTTTATAAGATCTTCACTTTCAATATTATCTTTAAATATTTTTACTAATTTTGAAATTATTTTGAAACATTATTATACATTACTATATTCAGTTAAAGATTATAAAATAAAAATTAAAAAAATATATCATATTATCTATTATATAATCATAATCAATTAAAAAGTTATGATATTGAGTTAAATATAATAAATTTGTATTAAACTGATAAATTTATATATTTTATTTTCGTAAGTAGAAAACATTTATGTTCAAAACTAAAATCTAATATGTTGGTAAGATGGATTAACACTAGCAAACTATAGAATACATGTATATAAATTAACATGTATTTTATTAAAGCTAATAATATAAAATATTTATAACTACTTTAATGATGAATCTTTTCATTTTAATTCTAAATATATATGTACATATTAAATTTTAAAAATTCTTATAAATCTGTGTAAAAATATTTTCCAATAATTTAACGTATTTTATGTTAGCGTTATAAAATGAAAAATTTAAATTATATCCTATTTGATTTACTTTATAGTCATAATCATCATGCTAAAAAAAATATTATATTGAAGTAAATATGATAAATTATGTTAAATTTATAAATTATAAATTTTAATTTCATAAATATAAAATATTTATTTTAAAAATATAAAATGATGACAAAACGGCTTAAAAATAGCAGAATATGTAATACATTTTTAAAAATTAACATATCTTAGACTTTTGTATATACAATAATATATCATCTGAAATGAATAGACATAAAAATATTGGTAAAAGAAAATCCATCTTTAAAAGTCGGGTCAGAATTTACCATAAATTAAATCCAAAATAATTTTCAAATATATTTTCTCATGAATATATTAATTTGCTTAATAACTAAATACCAATATAATAAGATAAATATATAATAAGAAGTGACAATTACATACGGTTTAACAATTGATTAATATAACATGTAAATTATAAAATTATTGCATGTGAAATAGTTATATAAATATTTAAGTATATGATTAACATTAAAAATATATACCACTTATGTTCTAAAAAATATTTATGTATATAAACGTGAAAAAAACACCTGTAAAATATGTGCGGTTGTGCAGATCAAAATATAGTTAGTAATACTAAATTAAGTGTTAAATATTCAAGAACTAATGCAAAAAAAAAAAAAAAAATTATTTTCCATACTTTTGTAAAATTAAGACAGTAAATAAAATCCGTGTTATCTAGTTTCAAAAATATAGAAAAGAATGGAAGTACTTAGGGTTGGGCAAAAAAACAGGATCCGAAGAACCGAACCGAACCCGCTCCGGAAAAGTAGTATCGAATCCGAACCGAAATTGATTCAATATCCGAATGGGTTCAAAATTTTGGTATTTAAAGAATCGAAATCGAACCCGACCCGAGCCGAAGTATTTCGGATACCCGAATATATTCGAAAGAGATTTATTAACCTATATATATTAATTATTTTAGATTTAATATATATAAAAACATTCAGTATATATATAAAATACTTTGAAGTTGTTCAAAATAATTGTAAATATATGTAAATAGTCAAACATATATGTCTAAAATTGCTAAAGTACACTCAAAACATCAAAAATACTTAAAACAATTATTGATTCACAATCCAAATATTCAAATCAAACTAATTTATATGTTAATTTTAAATATTTTGA